CTAAAGACTATACTTTAAAACTTATAATAAAACCTTATAGAAAACCTGTTGTTCACTATTCTAAGACTCAAGATATATTTATATAAAAATAATTACAGTGTTTAAAGATATGTAAGAAATATAAATAATATAATAACTATAATAAATATAATAAATATATGTATATGAGAGATATAAATAATAAGAAATATAAGAAATATAAATACTATATGAAATAGAAGACATATGTAAAATTTTAGTTACTGCAGTTATATATATCATCTGGATCATCTATGTCTTCTTTGTATAATAATAGCATATATTTTACCTTGAATTGAAAGATAACTTGATATAGGATTTTGTGAATAAACTGAAAGTTTCATAAAGATATTTGTTTTTTATTTGCTATTATCTTTTGCTGTGTCTTCATATAAGCGTAATTATGATAACGTTATTATGATTAATTTAAAAAACTGAATTGTATTGTTTAAGTTTTATTTCTAGCCCTTTGGCTAATAACCCTTCAATACTTTAATCACTTTAATCATTTTCAATCTTAATTCTGCTGCTAATATATTATTTGGATTATACTCTTCTCATTTGTTTTTATTTAAAGTAGAGCTCTAAATAGATCAGGTTAGATCTGATAATTGACTTAACCTATCTAATAAGATCAGATTAGGTTAGACATAAAATTTATCTGAATTAAATATATATTTAACTTGACCTTTCCTGACTTATCTAAAAAGGAATTTTATTAGTTTACTAGTTTAACTATATTTATATTTAAATATAAAAGTAATATAATTAATAAGAAATATAAATAAATATTAGTATATTTTTATATTTTATTATTTTTCAAAAAAAAGATTACTAATATAATAATATTTTTTTTAACTGCAGAATTTAAAATTACAAGTTATGATAAGTTATGATAAATCTGCAAATTAAGTATCTGCTAATACAATTATGAAACATATTATAATTTTACAACTATTAATCCAACTATAATAAAAATTTATATATATATATTTTCAAACCATTAAACAATATTACTTATATGATCAAAGTTAATTTCCTTTGACTAAAATACTTAAATTGCTTTTTGAATTACTAAACAAATAAAAAAAAATTCATGAGATAATATAATCATGAAAAACATTTATAACTTTATAACAATTAATCCAATTATAATAAAATTTTATATACACATATTTTCAAATCCGCTAAGTAATATTACTTATATTTTAAAAGTTGATTTATTTTGACTAAAGTACTTAAATATCTCTTTGAAGTAATTGAACAGATAAAAAAAAATTAAAAATAATTTGTTAATCAATAAATATAATTGCAAAAAATATTTATAATTTAAAATTTAACTTTTTGATTATAATAAATTACAAAGTAATTATATAAACAACTTTGTTAAATATAAAAAAGTATATTAAATAAAATTAAAGATATTTTTTAAAAAAAAATAGATAAAAAAAAAATTTTTTTTTAAATATTTAATTTCATTTAATTTGATTGATTAATCTGAATTTTATTAGGTTAGATTATAAGTTTGATCTGATCTAATGTTGACCTAAAAATTTGTTTACCTAACTTGAATTTTTCAGGTCAGGTTAGATTAGATTACAGGTTAACATGACATAATTCAAAGTTTTAATTTAAAGTTATTCTTACCTTTACTGTACAGATCAACACCTAAACATACATTTTATGATTTTCATTTTTCATTTATTTTTGACATTTTCATTTTTGGGATTTTTTTTTATTAAAACATTATATCTATTATAGCTGAAAGATCTTTTACATCTATTTTATCATAATTATCTTATTGATCAAGATAACTAATTTTTCGAAAAGATAATCTTTCTGAATTAAAAAATTCTTCTTTTAAAAAGATTAAACAAATTTAGTATGTAATATATATTGTATTCCATACTATATGATTAATATTAATTAACAGTAAAGTGAGAAAATTACTATCTTGCTTATAGAATTGAATAGAATTACATTTTCTTAATCTTATATCAATTATGACATGTTAAATATATTTATTTTTTTCTCTTACTTTTGAAATAGTACAAAAATAAGAACCTGTAAGGATTACTATCAATTTTTTTACCTATGATTCATAATATCTAACCAAGAAAAAATGTATAGACTTGAAAAATAGTAATTTATTAGTACAAAAGTGACAAATTTAACAATTGTAATTTTTAAACTGTCTTTTAAATATATTTGTGAATATTTATTAAAAAACAACAGATTATGCGATTTAAAAGATTAATGAATCTACAGTTTATAATGATAAAAAACTAATACAAATAAAGTTTGAATTTATATCATATATTTATCATTGATCTCCTGATAATACATATAAAATAAAGATATTTCTTAATAGTAATGATTAGAATCATGTGACTTTAATTAAAATTAATAAATACTGAAAAATTTTGATGCAAATACCCGAAGTAAATGAAACTTTATTAATAATTTTCTAAAAAAGTGAATAAAATATATGATGTTATTAAAGAATAGAAAGAATGTAAATTTTAGGATGATTATTATATGTATTATGCTAATTATTAAAAATTCAGAACTATTATTACTAAAATAATTTATTATGCTAATGATATGTGTGAGGTGGATTAGATAAGATAACAGAAATCTATTTTTATGATACTATGTCTATTATAAGTAGGGTTAGGAATTTTGTATGTACTAGATAAAATAACATTGTACTTGTACTGTACTGTACTAATTGTACTAATTATTGTGCTTACTAATCCTGATTATAAGTATGATGATGATGATTAGAGATTTCTCAATAAAGATCAAATGTTAATATATACTGATTATCTAATACAAAAATTATCCTCTTGACTCTATATGACATACTTTCTTAACCTACTATATCAATCCTATTAAAAAATAATATAAAAAATATATAGAATCTTTGCAATAGAAAGGAGAAAAACTGCCGGGAAAAATCAATTTTACTTTAGGCTAAAATATGTTCAAATTTAACATTAACTAATTTTTTATTTTTCCGGCAGTTTCCTCCCTTTCTATTGCAAAGACCCCATATATATTTTGTAGTTATTTTATAATAGGATCGACATAGCGGGATGTCGTACAGGGTCAAGAAGGCGAAATTGATAGTCTAGATTATCCAGATTAAGTAATAATAAGTCAGATTTCTTTAAATATTCGTTAGACGCGGTAAGTATAATAAGTATAAAATTCATACTGAAGCATTATTTAAGCTTTTATCGGCGCGTCTTCAAGTTTTCTCGGCCCTTCTTGTTCAAGTGAAAAAAGGATTGCTTTTTAAATAATTACAAAAAATTCAAAATATGATATCGCGAAGTATTCTTGTTTGCAGTTTTTACACATTCTTTTTATTCCATTTTGGAAATATCATTAGCACTTAAACACCTTTCAACAATAGTGACCAGCGTTCCTTTGGCATTTAGTTATTTATAAGGGAAGTATCTTTTCTTTTTCCCCTTTAACGAATCCCTTCCTTTAGCTTTATTTTTCAAACTGTTTTTATTTAACAATGAGATTTAGGTTTTCATGTAGTTTGAGGATTTAAAAAGGTTTAAAGTTGAGAAGCATTTCATGTGGCATCTTTGTTGTCAGACTTAGGGTAACGGTTTGATGACATTGATGCAGATTACCCCCGTGAATTGCTATTCTGGCCCAAGAGTTGTTTAACGTGTAGACTCCTTTGATGAATATCAAAAAATTGTTGGGTTTTGCACATAAACTTCTTCTTCGGGTAGCTTTTATGATCCTCTTTCTCAGGTTAACTTTTTACTTTATTCATTGTTAATAATTACAGTTCCCCTCTCCTGCCCCATATATTCTTAGTACTTTCCTCTAACATTTTTCCCTTAATTTTTATCTAATAGGTGGCGGAAATTTTATCCTAAAATTACATCGTCTACTAGCTAATGATAATACAATACATGGGGTGGAGAGATTACATCGGTTTTTAAATAATACAGTCACGCTCTTATAACGTTAGGACTTTAAAGTTTAGCTATTATTATAAGGGAAGTATCTTTTTCTTTTCCTTTAATGATCCTTCCTCTTATTTTAGAATTGTTTTATTTTCAAACCGTTTTTATTTAACAATGAGATTTAGGTTTTCATGTAGTTTGAGGATTTAAAAAGATTTAAAGTTGAAAAGCATTTCATGTGGCATCTTTGTTGTCAGACTTAGGGTAACGGTTTGATGACATTGATGCAGATTACCCCCGTGAATTGCTATTCTGGCCCAAGAGTTGTTTAACGTGTAGACTCCTTTGATGAATATCAAAAAATTGTTGGGTTTTGCACATGAACTTCTTCTTCGGGTAGCTTTTATGATCCTCCTTCTCAGGTTTACCTTTTTATTTTATTCATTGTTAGTAACTACAGTTCCCCATATTTCAGTACTTTCCTCTAACATTTTCCTTTAATTTTTATCTAATAGGTGACGGATTTGTTTTCTATAGATTAAAATATCGAGAGTTTTATGTCACCTAAGGCTTTGCACAGGTTAACTATAATGTACGAGAATAACTTATATACGAAATCGGGGGGGGGGGGGGGTAGCTACAACCCACAGAAAACAATCCCCCTTTTGAAACCAACTTCTGCAATAGTTTCCATTTAGCACTTTTCTCTGATTTCTTCAGCCACTCGCTTCTTTTATTCTTTTTTCTAACTTTTTCTTATACACTCCAATTACTTTTGTTCCACAACTATATTTACAGTGATTCTTAAAAAAAATTTAGGGCACAGGATAAGAGCATATTCCCTTCGACAAATAAGCCAAAAAAGTTCGATATTAATGATTTATCAGGAATCGCAAATAAACTTTGATGATGATAATAATAATATTTAAAATAATGAAAAAAAAAAAATCTTTTATTTTTAGTAAAAAAAAAAAAAATTCTAATCACTCTTAAATAATTTGAAATGCTAATGCAAAAACAAAAATGAATATGCAATAAAAAAGTTTACTTTTCTATAACTTGAAAACCCTCTATATCCTCGACAAAGAATTCACCTTCTTCATCTCTGATTTCATGTTCATAATAAACTCTGGTACAAGAACCATATCTCGGTTTAGCTTTATTGCCGAACCAAATGTCACCATAACCAAAACATGGACCATTGAATTGAGTATCAAAAATGGCTCCATCAATGAAATAAGGTCTCACTCGACTAATCTTTGAAATTATCTCTGATGATTGTGGTTGTTGCTGCAATTGCGCCAGAGTAGTTTTCGTAATATCCTTTTCATCTAGACCAATTGAAAATATAAAACTATCACCTGTGGCAATATAATTTCCATAACTGTACCATCCTACAGGATTATAACCCCCAATGATTTCAGGTGATCCAGCAACCTTAATAAATACAACGGTAGAACCATGATTATCAACATGTTTATGAAATGATTCAAAAGAAAATCCATCTCTACTACCACGATAAATTAATCTAAATCTATGAGGAATATTTACTCCTTCGTTTTTAAATGGAGATGATGTTGGAGTTAATGGTAATGCAAATGTTGATGAGTGAATGTTTTTTTTAACAATATAATTTGAAATTAATATAGCATGTTTTGGTAAAATTATTTCGGAATCTATATTACTTGGTGAAATTCTTGGAGCCTGTATCACTACATTTGGCTCTTCGCCTGTTAGATAAAATGATAAAAGATCGTCTCGTAATTTTTTTGGTAAAATTTGTTCAAATGGCCATACTTTATGATAAAAATCTTTTGATGATATATGAAATAATCTTAAAAATGGAATTAAATTACACAGAGTTTTTTCTAAGGCCGAAAAATCTTCTGATGACCAATTCTCTATATCATTTTCGTACGGGATATCGGCATTTTTTATTCCCCACTTTATCAAAAAATCCCATATATCCTAACAAAAAAAAAAATGTTTCAATTAATAAAAGAAATATCTTGAGAATTAAGGAGGCTTTCTTTTTTTTTTTTTTTTTTTACATGAGCTTACGATTTCTTCGACTCCGAGATCATCCCTTTTAAGGAGTTGTAATATTACATTCTCATTCACGTCCAAAAATTCTTCTGACTGAAATAAATTCCAAACATTTTCATTAATAATATTAAAACAAAAATTTTGTAATTTATCACATGAAACATGATTAAATGCAACACGTAAAACATTAAAAATATTTTGTTTCATCCAAGTATCTTTATAAGTTAACAAATAATCCTGTATATGATTAAATAATTCAAATAAGCATAACTCATCTGATGCTTCTAAAAGTTCAAAGATTTCTGAATCTTCAAGTAGTTCTAAATAAATTGTTCCACTATAAATAAACCTAGCAATAGGGAAAGAGTTAAAAACCTTCAGAATGATACAATTAGTGAAAATTTTTATCGGACTTACCTTAAAATGACATCAAAAACGTTACAAGAAATGTTTGGCTTTTTGAATATCATAATATCACCTTCTCTTCTTACCCAATCATTTGATAATGCAGCACGAAAATATTCTGACCTAGCTCGTAATATAATAGAATGTGCTCTAAATGTTTTAACATTTTCCTTCTGTCCTATTTCAATTAATACGTTAAAATCATCTGATTTTTCTAAAAGGGTTGTAAAATCTGATGAAAGTGTCAATAAATATTCTGTCATCTTTAATAAAAATTTTGTTTTGAAGGGGAATTTTATTTTTGAAAGGGGAGAATCCAAATTACGAATTTAAAAATTTAAATGCATTTACCTGCGGATCACGTGAACTCTAACTGTGAACAAATTCGGAAGTACACAAAAACGCCTCATGTCTATGTCAAATTCATACTAATCTTGTAATACTATTTATATTAAATATTTATTATTTTGAACATGTAAATTTATCAAGTGGATTATTACTTGTACGAAACTTTGGTCAATAGATTGCTTTGTTATTATTAAATTATAAGTAGAAATGATAAAGGTGGGTCATATTATTGTTTATTAAATCATTATAATACAATAACTTACGTTTTCTCGGCATTTAGCGAGATCTTGTCAAAGATTCTCTCATCGAGTCGTAGGAATCAGAATACCTAGTGTTTTAGTGTCGTACATGCACTTTGAAGGAAAATAACTGTCATACTCCTTTCTCATTATAAATACAAGAGGTTCAATATAGGTGTACTTTTAATCGTTTAGATATGTTTTGTATCTGTTCTGCCAATTGTGCCGGTCGCCAGTGAGTCAGTAAACAATGTTAAGATCGTAGTTAATCAAAAAGTTCAGAACAAAAAGAGTACGTCAAATGTTTAACCAATCATAATCAAATTTTATTTCAATAAAACATAAAAAAAAAAGAAAAAAAAATTGTTCTATTCAAACTTAATAAGAAGGAATTTTTTAATGGAATTTGTTGACATTACACACTTAAAAAAGCATTGGAACTTGATTTATCGTCTTTGTTCCTCATTCTTACTTTTCTTTTATTTTCATATTGGATAAATTTAAACGAGAATGTTTAAAGATTTCCTCATCACTCATGATATTATTAATACTCATGTGTAACTTAAGTTGTTCTCTGTTTTGTGAATAACCGTATTGCCAACTTAATTCGGGTATGTCAACTTTAAGGTGTTGACCGATATCGGAACCATACTTATCCAAAAAAGTATAAGCGACGCTACCAAAAGGTTTGATTAATGAATCAATACTTTCCATTATGACGGAATTTTTAACATAATACCGACCAAAGTTCATGAATGGTGGATAACCATTTTTACTAAACGTTATCATGACTTCGGTTTCAAATGTGCCCATGACCTCTTTTAAAACATTACGTAAAACGTATATAAATTGATCCAACTTCTCTACCGTCGGATTATTCGTGAAATTAAGTTTGTGTATGATTTTCTGCTTTTCATGCTTTTTAAAAGGGATTTGATAATAATCCAACTCCGCCTCTATCTCCTTTAACGAAACAAATGTTGTAACATTGTCTCTTGGTAAATAGACTTTTCCTGTACGATAAAATTGTATCACGTAACGAAACAAACTTCCATCACGATCGATAAAATATTCATTTTCGTTCTTCGGATGAAGTAATGACAGATTACGCTTTGCAAACATTGTTCCTAAAAACGTATCTGGATACGAGAGAAGCGTCGATCTCTGTGTTTCGTACTGAATTGAAGAAAATGAAAAAAAAATTAAACGATTTAGAAAGAGAAATTCCAAACGTAAACCTCGTTTTTTTTTCTTTCTTTCTTACCTTTACACCACCAACGTTTAGAACAATAGTTTGTTCGGCGGAAGCATCAAACTTTGAATTTGCATTAATTTCTTTAGTAGACATGTTATATTATCTTTAAAAAATCTCAAGTTTTATTTTTTTGTAGGAATTTCGTTTCAAAACGAGAAAAAAAACATATATGCAAAAAGAATAAAATAAAATAAAAAAGGCGGAAATTTTAAAAAAATGATGTATATATATGTAAATATATGTAAAATATAAAGTTCAGGTTTTATGATGTGCGACAAACAAGTACATTATCTATTAATTTGTGTGACATTTTGAGTAATCAAATATAAACACCTGCCTTTATATGAATTATACTAAAACGGAATTGGTTGAATGCTATTTGTTTTCTTAAAAGTCCTTTTACATTTGTTGATTAATGAAATTTGCTATTTGATCATGATTGGATGATGATGTTTATGTGACCATGTGCTCTCCCACATTCAATTTTTTTTCTTTGCAGTTCTTCGTAATAGCGAATCGTTGATTGCAAAAAGATTTATCCACCGACCTTTTTTTTTACTAATGTGGATTGTTATTTAATTTGAATAAATCTCAATTTGTTGACAAAAAAGTGGATCTATAACTTTAATTGAAAGTTCATTGTCCCCCCCTTCGGATTAAAATCTTTTAAAGTCATTATGTTTTTGCATAATCCGAAGGATCATTTACTAATTAAGGAAATTAAATAAGAGTAAGAAACCGTTTTTTTTACCTGTCAAAATTCGTTTCAATTAACAAATATTTGATGAATGAAAAAAAAAAATCTTTTACTATAAATAAATAAATTGATTCATTGACAAATTTGTGATACCCCGCCCCGGTTTTCTAATTTGTAATTTTATGATGATCGACCAAAAAATAATTATCTATATAAATAAATTTTCACTAAAAAAAAAAAAAAAAAAAACTTTTTTTTTCATGAAATTTATTCATCTATTTAATAAATTTTTCGTTCGCCATCTTTTGCAAAATTTTGTTCCTTATATTATTTGTTCCTTTTTTTTAAAAAAAAATAATAAATAATAAATAATGATGAACGACAAAAAACCCTTGGTAAGATTTTTTTATAATGATAAATCTTTTTAGTGTTCAAATGATGTGATGATTAAAAATTAAACAAGAAGAAAAGAAGTTTATAAATTCTTTCGATGTTTATAAGCAAAAAAAAATTACATTCCAATTACAATCTGATGCCGAACATTTCATTGTTATTTTTTTTTTATTTTACGGATGGAAAATGGAAATCTAATTTTGATTCTTTTCATTTTTTCATATTTACTCACTCCCCTGATAGACGAGGTCGATCCAAATGGTGAGAATGTAAGGTAAATCCCCCCGCTTTGAATGAAATATTTTTCGCCCTAAAAATAAATAAATAAATATAAAAAAGAAAAAAAATATAAAAATATAAGCCAAGAAAATTTGATTAAACAAATCAAGATTTGTTCTTCGTTTGACAATATTGCGAGCTTCTGATTCGTTGACGATAAGTTCAACTTGAATATATATATAAAGGGGGGTTTATTACAGTAATAAAAATTTTACATATCTTTTGCTTCTTTCGACAAACAAATCTTTGTGTGTACTACTTTTTAAATTTTTAACTAAAAGGATGAAAAGGATGAAATTAAAAAATTTGCATGGAGTTAAACCAATCAAAATCAAGTGTAACTCCAAATCATCTGCATTGTAACCATCAAAAAGAGGAGAATGTTCGTTTCAATTTTAAGTGGAACTTTCAATAATAACTCCAATAAAAATAAAAATAAAAATAAGGGAAAAACCGGTGGTTTCTCTTCAAAAAATGCCCACGGAATATTTTTCAACAAAACTTTCATTAGATTATACTAAATTGTTAGAAACATCAAATGATTATAATGTAATTATAGAGATAGGGGAACTGGACAAGATACCTTCATCATTGAATAACATACCTTTCGTTGTAAGTGATGATGAGGAGAAATTTAAAACGTTTAAAGCGCATTCGTTAATCTTGAAATCACGATGTAAATACTTTGAAGCGGCATTATCATATGATTGGGTAAAAAGAGATGATAATGATAAAATAATATTAAAAAAGCCCAACATACATCCAAAAATCTTTTCAATCATTTTAAAATATATTTATGATGGTAGTTTAAATTTGGATCATTTACCGCCATCCGAAATATTATTATTGTTATTATCATCGGATGAATTGGCAATAGATGAGCTAATAAATCATATACAGAAATATTTAATCATAAATCATTCCAAATATATTCAAGAAAATATTCATCACATATTGAACCTAACTTATAATCATTCGTCTTACAAAGACATACAATATTTTTGTATTGAAAAAGTAATAATTAACAATCCTTTAATATTATTTAATTCCATTAATTTTTTTCATTTACATGAGGAAATTCTGTTGGAATTGTTGGATCGAGATGATTTCAATAAATTTAATGAAATCGACATTTGGGGTTTTATATTAAAATGGGGGATCTATCAATCAAATGATCAGTTATCAATCTTATCTTATTATAATAATAACGCGACTACGACGACGACGACGCAATTGCGGAATGATGAGGAATGGTTATTAAATTTGGAATTAAAAGATTTAATAGATCATTTAAGTAATGAATGTTCATGGGGTACCAAAGAATATAATACATTGGGTAAATCTTTGGAAAATTTATCGACGAAAATTCGTTTTATAGAATTTTTGAAATCAGATTTTATAAAGTTTATAATACCTTTTAAAGAAATTTTTAATATTGAATTTTACAATGAATTACAAGATCATTTTTATATTCTATTACCATCTCCCCCTCCCAAACAATTACTTTTTAATAATTTAAATCCCATGGATAATCAACATATTAGTGATAAAAATGATAGCAGAAGTGGTAGTGGCAGTATGATGAATGGTAATGGTCATATAAATAATATAAATACAAACATTCCCTTTTTATTTCCAAAGAAAATCTTTACATTAAAACCTCCTAGACGTAGATTAGATTCAGAAATCATAACCAATGATCATATAAAAATAATAACAAACTGGTTGGATCATAAAGATGGCATCTCATCTTCATCTTCTCACTCTTCGTCGTCGTCATCCTCATCCATCTCTTCCCAATTTACCTTAACACCAACCACAACGACATTTTTAGCAACCTCAATGAACGCTTTCCTATCGTCAGCCAATGTCAATCATCATCCATCGTTGATACTTAAACCCCCTTATACGTTCACATTATTATATAGAGCATCTCGTGATTCTTTTAACTTGGATAATTTGCATAAAATCATTGATTATAAAGTGAATATATTAATAGTAGCAAGAATTTCTAATACCAATGAATTAATAGGCGGTTATAATCCGATCGGTTGGGACGATTCAAATAAACCTCATCCTGATTCGATCAATAGTTTTATTTTCTCGTTTCGTGATAATAATCCTCCTAGCTCTCCCACTTCATTTTCTCCACCACTCTTACCAAGAATAAGTAGATTAAAGCGTGAATTAATTGATAAGATAGTATTTAATTCCAAAACTGGTTACATCTCTTTTGGTAGTGGTAGTGATTTAAGGATTGGTGGTGTTTTAAATCCAAAGACTGGTCATACTAAATTACAATATTATGAAAACAAAATTAGAGATTTTCAAGGTATCTTTTATATTGATGATTATGAAGTATTTCAAATTAGTTAAGTAGAGATGGTGTTTTTAATTTTGAATTTTCTCATTCTTTGTCAATGTTTTTTATTTATTTATTACCAAATAAATTTTTTTAATAGAGTATCTAATATTATACATGTACATATTACCAAAAAAGGATTAAATAATTAAACCTTTTCATATTTAATTTCTTCAAATGAGGTATAAATAATTGCAGAGAATGCTTGCAATTCCTTACAATCTTTAATCACCTATAAACAATCATCAAATATTAATAAACATGATTTTTTAAACACGATATGATAATTATCTCAATAATTGACAAACCTCAAGAAATCGGTTTGGCACACCATTAAGAATGACGTGAGCTTCTTTTGTAATATTTGGTAATAACTTTACAAGTGTTATACTCTTTTCAACTTTTTGCAATGTGTCGTGATAAAAATGAGGCGACATATCATGATTTAATAAATTAAAAGCCGAATTAAGGCATTCTAAAAGAACCGTGTTAAAGTCCCGACTTTTCATTATAATAGACCATCATAACAAAATTTTAATTAATATATGTAAAGTTACGTTTTTAAGTCATTGATAATAAGTTTCTTTATATACCTATGTATAAAGTCCTTTGTTTCATCCAATAACCTTCTTAATTTGGGATCTATAGTGTCATCAAACATATTACATCCATATTCACTCAAAACATATACTTCATCCGAAAGATCTTCAGGCATCATAATATTAAAGAATCTACAATTATCATTTCACAAAGATTAAGTGAACCGTGAAATAAATGAAAGAGAGTAAGAAATGTAAAATAAATACCTATTAGCAGGATCGCTTTTATCGTCTCCTTCAACCTTTGATCTAATTTCAGATATAAGCCATACAAAATCTTGATATGAAAGTTCATATTTGAATGACATACTAATAAAAAAATTTTTTTTTTATTAAACATTTTCAAATCATAAGGAAAACTTACTATAACTTATTAATAAAGTAATGGTTACCTTGACAAGGAAGATTCAACTGCCGCAAAAACTTTGTCAACGATCTTTCTATATCCCTCATTCAAGAACCAACCAATAAATGTTAAATATTTTTTTTCTGTAACATGATTTAAAATGGATCCATCAACAGGTTGAATTGTAATGGATTGTTCTCTATCACGTTCCGTAATAGAGTAAACCGAATAAAGATAATTATATTTTCCCAAAAGATTTAATTGAATGAAGGTGGTTAATGTAAGAAGTGTTTCAAGGTACACGGCTGCAATAGTTCTTGTGAAACCTGATAAGATAAAGCAATTGAATACATAAATAAGAAAAAGAACATTGCTTTTATTTTTTTTTAAAACAAAATCATTGATTTACTTTTGAATTTGACTTCGGTCCATAATTCAAGTTTATGCTGTTTTGACATCTTAGTAGCTTCCTCAGAAGAAGGATTAACAGGACTACGAAGAGGAGAATTCGTTTCACCTCCCTGACTTATATTACTTGAATTATTTCCACTAATATTTTCTCCTTGAATATCTGTGATAGTTTCCGTAACTTTTGCGATCTCACTATCATTAGGTCGATCAACCAAAACAGCTGATGATGAAGTAGTTTCTCCATTATCATTTTTATTAACTAAAACAATTGATTCGCTTGGAGAAGTTGTGGTCACATTACTATATTTTTCTCTTTGTAAACTTGCGCAAATTGTTTCAACATCTAATTCGTCCATTAATTGTTGTGTTATTGTTGGAATCTGAGATAATACCGCAAAACTACAGTCATTTTGCCTTTTTTGAAATCGCTTCTTCATGCTGAAAGAGATAAGTTAATTTATTGGGATTTTTTGAAGAAAAATAAAGGATTGTAAAAAAATTATTGTTTAAAATACAAACTTTTCTTGAGCGGTTCGTTCTGAAGCAGCCTTTTCTTGCATTTCAAAAAATTTCCATGTTGCGAACTTTCCAAGAAAGTATGTACCACCTGTAATACCTAATGTAATAAATATTTTTTTCTTATGTCTTTTAAGAAATCCAATGGTGGAAGAAATCATCTTGACAAAAGTGTTTTTTACAAAGGAGAATTTTTTTTCGAGAACAATCTCGGAAAAAAAAATTTATTTTAGTTTGTTGTACAAGTTTATCAAAATCAAGTGATTATCTTAACAATGTAAGACCCGCCAAAATAAATGATAAATCCGGATAATAATTTTTTTTTATATTAACCTGAAACAGTTTTCTTAAAGAAAAAGGTTTACGTCATCAGTTACAAATCGTTTACATAAAACCGCCGAGATATTTTTTAAATTAAATAAAAAATTATTCCGAGATTAAAGTATCAAAAAAATTGGGTGAGATGAAGCACAAGCGCACATGTGGGATGCAATTAATCAAATTTCTTGAAGCTTATGATTACTAATCAAAATCAAATGGTTCTGACTGTGTTTGAGTGAAATAATTCTCAAGCAATTATTGTCAAGTGTCTATAAATAAAACCCCCTTTGTCAAAATTCATTTTAAAAATTTTTACGCGATTTTAAACAACCTATTTTTAAGATCAAATGTCATAATTATATTTATTTAAAAAGTCAAGACTTTTTTTTTTTTTTAAAAAAAAAAAAGGATTTTCGAAAAAATGTGAGCGGCATTTCCTACTATTTACGGAATTATTATATTTTCCTTATTAGATAATCCATTTTCGATCACCGCGGAATACTAAACACGACGGTGCATTGATGTAGTATTACTTGCGGATATGATTTAACTAATAGGTTTAGGCTTTTGTAAATTAGCCAAACTCCTAATGGTTAAAAAGATTTTCTTCGATGAGAAAGAATTTAATGATGTATTACCTTATCAAAATATTAAATGTTGGCAGATTTATCAGTCTCGATTTTTTTTTCCTAGGTTTACATATTTTTAAAGATTACACGATCTACGAAAATTATCATCTGAGATTTTTTACTTTTTGGCAGTTCATTATGAACTAATTTTTAATTTAACCAATTACATTATTAGTTTCAGATTTAATTTTATAGTGAGTTTCAAAAAAAAAAAAAAACTTTTGATTGAGAAATTTTTACAAGTTTTCTTAAATTCGCGAACAATTTAAAAATTAAAGTAGATCATTGGTTGATGCGTGCCATAATATTTCCTTTTTTTTTCCTTTTTAATTTAAAAGAAAATACAATGCTTTTGTCATAGATATCGAAATTCCCGACAATGATCGACATGTCCGAATATCAAGTAATACCACAAGAGTCCGCTCGTCACATTTGGCATTTATTATATATATATCTCGATTCTATCATTTTTTTGGGACTTAATCGAGATAAACTTTACGGAAAATTTTCCTTCTTCGAATAAAAAAATAATAATCATTTTTAATAATTTTTATTACTTTCTTTTTTTAAAAAATCTGTCTTACTTAAGCAAAGTACTTCATTCTAAATTCATTATGGATTCTCCAGAAAGCTCAGTTTCTATCGAAATTGATGAAATTGATGAATACGTCGATAACGACGAAAGTGATTCATCACAAAGTTCAATTGGCCCAAATCTGACAATGGAAATTGATGATACCTTGCTTGATTCTTTTTGTTATATAAAAGGAAGACGATATCAAAGAAGCGATTATTTTACTTATTTTTTCCCCAATGATGATGAAGAAGGTAATGGTGAATTTGATAAAATTTCTTTTAATACGTGACTTACGTGACTTAAAATTAATTTATTTATTAATTCAAATTAGCTGATAGATTGAATTATTTACATTTATTAACGAGAATTGCTTGGAGAGGAAATTTTTCTTCGCCAATGCATGACAAATTAATGAATGGAAATGCCAAAGTCCTAGACTTGGGGTAAGTTATTTAAAAAATTTCTTTAAATCATTTCGTAACTAAAAGCTAAACTAAATAACACTTTTTTTTTAACAGATGTGGTACAGGAAGGTGGTTACTTGATATGGCCGAAGATTATCCAGATTCAACTTTTGTAGGAGTAGATATTTCGCCATTTTTTCCTGATTCAAATGAAACACCATCAAATGTAGGATTTTTACAATGTAGCGTGAATGATGGTTTACCTTTTCCCGATTCAACTTTTGACTTTGTTTGTCTAAGAAATATGATAACCTCTGTTTCAATATACGAATGGGAGAGATTTGTTAAAGAAATGATTAGAGTGGTAAAGCCTGGTGGATATATAGAAATGTTTGAAATGGAACTAATTTATGAAAATTCTAGTCCTGAATTTAAATGTATCGAAGATTTAAGTAAGTTTAGTGATTAGAATGAAATGAAGTCATAATATAATTATCATCTAAACAATGTCATATTACCTTTTTAAAATAGTTGAACTCGGATTTGAATCCACAGGAATTGTTCCACATCTTCAAAGATCTATTCCGCCAATTCTTGAATCAATACCCAATTTAAAAGATATTCGGAGCGAAAAAATATCTATACCTGTTGGTAATTGGGGTGGAAAGATCGGCGAAATGGTAATAATTTACTAACATTTCATTTCGTTTATAAAATTTGTCTTTTTCATTCAATTTAATTTATCTTTATTATTTTTTTTTTTTTGTAGATGGCAAAATTTTATATAATGACTTTTAATACATTTAAATTACTCTTTACAACAGTTTTGGGAATTACTGATGAAGAATATAATATAATCTGTGATCGTAGTTCAAAAGAATTGAAATTGAATTACGGAAGCTATGCTATGTCTTGCAGATGGTATGCAAGAAAGACATAAGATACCATCTTTTTATACGCTATATGCTAGTTCCTAAATCCTAAATTTATATATGATATAATTATAGTTTAATATGTTCCTGTAATATGATATGATTGATAACTTTATATATTTATTCGTTTTATGTATTTTTAATTCTTTATTAAGATTAATTTTAAAAGTATGATGTATGATTTGACGTTATTTTACGTCTAATAAAGTTTTGTAATTAGACTTTATTCGATCAAATATCGATTAAGAAAATTTGTGATCATTTTTGGACATTCCTAACCATTATGCAAAATTCTTTTCTCATTATTTCTTAACATAATTTATTTTCTAGAGCAGTATCCTTGAAACTAAAGAACTAAAGGACCGATATAAAAGAAAGATTGACCAATTGTCCCTTGGGAAGCAAAAAATCTTTGATAATGATGTATTCTTAATGTTAATCAAAGCCTGTTATTCAAGGCCAACTTTATTTTATTACGTGGCACCCTCCTCGTTGACCCTATGATTAACTATCCGTTTAGCCGTGGCGGAGTCTCGAATCAGACGATTTGCAACTTAAAAATTATGTTTTAATTCAAAATTAAAATTATCGATCATTTTGGCCTGTTTTGGCCGGTACCCAACTCTTTTTTTTTTTTTTTTTTACGCATTAGGCATGGCGATAAATTACCTACAATTATTACAATTATTACCTTATTTTAGCAATATACTATTTTGTTTCCGGCAGATCGGTCTTTCCTTTTAACTCTTAATAGAAATAGAGAAAATATTTTTTATTTAAAAATGTCAATTAGTTGATCTAAGCATGGCATGAATTGGCACGTGCATCAAACTTTAAGGCACGGGCACTGGTGCATGATGTCATTAGGTGTTCTTGGCATCCTAATCTCCGAGTAGCAGGCAAAATTTTGGTTCAGATAATAATAAAATTATTTAACCGATCGATCATCATAAATATAGAAATGTGCTTATCATCAATAAGTAAATCTTGTTATACAATTGTTATAATAAAATTTATGAATAAATTTTAAATGGAAAATAAATTCTGAGATCGATAATTTTAAATTTTCATGGGACCGTTTAGTTGAGTTATTAAAATCCAAATAAGTTTATTTTTCTTTTTTAACAAATATTCCATTAATACATTATCATTAGAAAGTAAAGTATTCCTTTAGTTAGGATTGGCAAATTTATTGGAACTTTTAGGACAGTTTTATGATCATTTAAATCCCTATTCGATAGTGTCATTTTTTTATTGATCTGATCGTATATGGCATTTTTTTTTTAATAAATTGATGAATTGATGCACAAGTTGATCGATCTATTTTAGCTTAGCTTAAATTTAATTCTATAAGATCTGTTGTATACTATCTACAGTAATGATATTGGACATTGTCCAATTGCCACAATTGGATAATTCAACATTGGACCAATTAGATTTAGTCCATTAAATGTATTAAATGTCCAATCTGTCCAAAAAAAAATTTTTTTTGATGCACAGTTAGATTTTCTGAATGGATTGCGAGTCAGACGAGCTGAGTCAAAGTCAAAACATTATTGAATCTTTCAACTCAAGTCAGGTTATATAATTAACTCAAAACAATTCTTTTTATCGTTCCAAGCATCGTTCAATATAAGAATCGTTTTTAATTTGGACTTAAAATTGGATAATGTCCAATAGTCCAAATGTCTATTAATAGTTCAAATAATCGTCACTAATTATAGGATATTTATAAATAATAATTAAAAATTTTAATAAATAACTATTATATTGGGAAAATCAAATTTGGTTCCCAATATTATTAGCTACCTTGTAGGTAGCGGTAGTTATTCGG